TCAGAATATACAAGTATTTTAAACAAGCTTTATAGCTATTCTAAAGGACAAAATTTTTAAAAAATGCTCTCAATGAATAAAAATATAAGACATTAATAGAAAAATAGAAACCATAAAAAAAAATTCTAGAACTTAACAGTTCAGTATCTGAAAAAAAAATCTTCACTGGGGAGACTTAAAACAGATGGAATTGATAAAAGATAGTGAGCATAAAAATAAATGGAAATAATGGAAATAAACAATGGAAATAATCCAATTTAAATAAAAAAGAAAAAATTATAAAATGAGTTTGTGGGAATGGTTGGACAATAGGAAAAGGAAATATGTACATGGAGTCTGAGAAGGAAAGGAGAGAGAGTATGGAAAAAAAAATACTTGAAGAAGCAAGACCATCAATTCCTCAAATTTGATGACTGACATAACTCTATAGGATCTAGAAAATTAATAAAGTCCATGCAAGATAAAGACAAAGAAAATATATTATATACGAACTACCAGAAACTAAATATAATGAGACTCTTGAAAACAGCCATAAAAAAAAAAATGATGCATTACATACAGTGGAACAATAATTTCAATGAAGGCTGACTTCTTATTGGCAGATATGGAGGCTGGAAGATAATGGAAAACAGTTTTTAAATACGAAAATAAAACATTCTGAACTCAAAATATGTCTAGTGAAAAAAATCCTTCAAGAAAAAAAAAGCAAAATAAGCACATTTTCAGAAATAAGAAAAGTAAAATAATTAACCAGGGCAAGCCATTGCCAGGAGACCTGCACTATCAGAAATAAATGTGCATCCGGAGTTAGGAGGCAGAGAAGTTAGGGGGACCCTAAGTTTGTCTGGTTCCTCTAATACAACTAGATGGTTATCAAATCATTCTGAACACCTGAGGAATCAATCAGAGATCTGAGAAAACAAATACTGCAATTCTACAAGTAGAAAAACAACCACTGTTTGGAAGGTAGGAGGTGCTGAGACTTGAATCCGGTGTGACATAGCTGAGGCTAGGCGGAGGGGAGGGAGGCTGCTTAAGGAGGCTACCCTAAAGTAGAATAAGCAGCGGAGTGCAAAATCGGAACTTTTAGAAGTCTGCTACAGTGGGGGACGTGCCTGGCTTAAATGTGCTCAGATGGCGAAGCGGGGTGGAATCCCAGGTGTGGCAGGGTGGTCTGAGGATCCCTGGGGTCTCAAAAGGATCAGGTGGTGCCTGAGTGCAGCCGAGTCCCCAGGCATTCGAGCGGAGAAACCAGCTAACGGTGAATTAGGCGCCAGCTATCTGCTCTGTGTTGCCATAACCAGCGAACCACCGCAGGGTCATGCGACAGCTTTCCAGGGAGGGGTCTGGCAAAAGGCAGAAGGGTTGAAAGACCCTCCCCGGGAGGAACAGCAGAAGTCCTTAAAATTTGGAGTTTTGAAACTCAGTTGCATGGCCGAGATAAAAACGCTCGGCCACAGGCTGGGTGAACACAGAGCTCTGACGGAAACTGGGGCTACAAGAGTGCTTGACTGCTCTTCTGTGCAGGCTCAATGAAGAGTGGTGGGTGCAAATGTTCAGGAGCGGGGCTAGAGAGCAGGGCACAGCCATATTCGTCCCACCCATCAGCGCTGAAAGCTTTCAGGGATCAAAACAGCACCAGCTAGTGGAGTCCAGAGCCGCTTACACCGAGCGCGGCCTCCCTGCCCCGTGCAGGCTCCTGTCCGCTAGGGCAAGTCCACCTGAGAATCAGTACAACAGGCCCCTGCCCCAGAAGACCAGCTCGAAGAACTCTTTCACACCAAGTTTACTGATCATGGAGGACTCCAAAGCGTCAACCCTTGGGGAAAACAGTATATAGCAATCTTTGTATTTTTATTCTTTATCCTTTTAGGATTATTTTTTCAGTTATTTTCTTATTTTTTTCAATTCTTTTTCAATTTTATTTTTATATATATTTTATATATTTTTTCTTATTTTTTGTTTCTTATCATTATATTTTATTTTATTTATATATAATATATAGTTATATATAATTATAATGTATAATATATATACATATATAATATATATTATATACATAATACATCTATTAATACATAATATGTATAATTATATGTAAAATATAATCTATATTATATTATGGATAATACAATATGTAAATATGTATGATTATATGTAATTAAAATACATAATAATATATTGCATAATATACATAATATTACATACATAATTACATACATATATTAATACATAATAATATTATGTATATATATCTCTTTCTTTCTTATTTTGGGATCTAGTTTCTTTTAACAAGCAGACCAAAACACACCCAGGATCTAGCTGTTGTTGTTGTTGTTGTTGTTGTTGTTATTGTTTTTGTTATTTTTTTCTTTTTCTTTCTTCTTTAGAGTGGAGAGACCAAAAGTAACAAAGACCAAAAAGGAACAGAAACAATCTACAGGAAGAGCGACTCTTCAGGTAATACAATGGCACTAAATTAATATCTTTCAATAATTACTCTGAATATAAAAGGACTAAATGCTCCAATCAAAATACATAGGGTATAAAAAATACCCATCAGTATGTTGCTTACAAGAGATACATTTTAGACTCAAAGACCTCCAGATTGAAAGTGAAGGGGTGGAGAACAATTTATCATGCTAATGGACATCAAAAGAAAGCTGGAGTAGCCATCCTTATATCAAACTATATTTAAAACCAAAGACTGTAATAAGAGATAAACAAGGACACTATGTCATAATAAAGGGGTCTATCCAACAAGAAGATCTAACAATGGTAAATATTTATACTCCTAACTTGGGAGCAGCCAAATATATAAATCAGTTAATAACTAACTTGAAATTTATTGATAATAATACAATAACAGTAGGGGACTTGAACACTCACAGCAATGCACAGATCATCTAAGCAGAGGATCAACAAGGAAAGAAGGCACACTGGACCAGATGGACTTAACAGATATATTCAGAACATTTCATCTTAAAGCAGCAGAATACATGATCTTTTCGAGTGCACATGGAAGTCTCCAGAATAGATCACATACTGGGTCACAAATCAGGACTCAACTGTACAAAAAACTGAGATCATACCATGCATATTTTCCTACCACAATGCTATGAAACTTGAAGTCAACCACAAGAAAAAAATTGTGGAAGGACTACAAATATGTAAAGGTTAAAGAACATCCTACTAAAGAATGAATGGGTCAACCAGGAAATTAAAGAAGAAGTTTAAAAATACATGGAAGCAAATGAAAATGAAAACACGACAGTTCAAAACCTTTGGAATGCAGCAAAGGCAGTCCTAAGAGGGAAGTATATAGCAATACAGGTATACCTCAAGAAGCAAGAAATATCTCAAATACACAACCTAAACTTACACCTAAAGGAGCTGGAAAAAGAACAGCAAATAAAGCCTAAATCCAGCAGGAGAAGATAAAGAATAAAGATTAGAGCAGAAATCGATGACATAGAAATAAAAAAACAAAACAAAACAGTAGAACAGATCAATGAAACTAGGAGCTGGTTCTTTGAAAGAATTAACAACATTGATAAACCCTTGCCCAGACTTATCAAAAAGAAAAGAGAAAGGACCCAAATAAATGAAATCATGAATGAAAGAGGAAAGATCACAACCAACACCAAAGAAATACAAACAATTATAAGATAATATTATGAGTAATTATATGCCAACAAATTAGGCAATCTGGAAGAAATGGCAAAATTCCTCGAAACATATAAACTACCAAAACTGAAGCAGGAAGAAACAGAAAACTTGAACAGATGCATAACCAGCAAAGAAATTGAATCACTAATCAAAAATCTCCCAACAAATAAGAGTCCAGGGCCGGATGGCTTCCAGGGGAATTCTACCAAACATTCTTCTGAAACTCTTCCAAAAAATAGGAATAGAAGGAAAACTTCCAAACTCATTCTATGAGGCCAGCATTACCTTGATCCCAAAACTAGATAGGATCCCACTAAAAAGGAGAACCACAGACCATTATCCCTGATGAATATGGATGCAAAAATTCTCACTAAGATACTAGCTAATAGAATCCAACAGTACCCTAAAAGGATTATTCACCATGACCAAGGGGGATTTATTCCTGGGCTGCAGGGATGGTTCAGCATCCCCAAATCAATCCACGTGACATACCACAATAAAAGAAAGAATAATAACAATATGATCCTCTCAATAGAAGCAGAAAAAGCATTTGACAAAATACAGCGTCCTTTCTTGATAAAAACCTTCCACAATGTGGGGATAAGGGGAACATACCTCAACATCATAAAGGCCATATACAAAAGACTGACAGCAAATATCATCCTCAATGGGGAACAACTGAGAGCTTTTTCCCTAAGGTCAGGAATATGTTGGGGATATCCACTCTTACTGTTGTTGTTCAGCATGGTACTGAAGTACCTAGTTTCAGCAATCAGACAACAAAAAGAAATAAAGGGCATCCAAATCAGCAAAGAAGAAGTCAAACTTTCACTCTTCGCAGATGACATTATACTCTATGTAGAAAATCCAAAAGACTCCACCCCAAAATTGCTAGAACTCATATAGGAATTCAGCAAAGTCCCAGGATTAAAATAATCATAGATAAGTCTGTCACATTTCTACACACTAACAAATAAGCAGCAGAAAGAGAAATCAAGGAATCTATCCCATTTACAGTTGCACCAAAATCATAAGATATCTAGGAATAAATCTAACCAAAAACGTAAAGCATCTGTACTCTGAAAACTATGAACAGTTATGAAAGAAATTGTGGAAGACACAAAGAAATGAAAAAACATTCCATGCTCATGGATTGGAAGAACAAATATTGTTAAAATGTCTATGCTACCCAAAGAAATCTATACATTCAAAGCAACCCCTATCAAAATGCCACCAACATTTTTCACAGAGCTGGAACAAATCATTCTAAAATTTGTATGGAACCAGAAAAGACCCCAAATAGCCATAATGTTGAAAAAGAACATCAAAGCTCAAGGCATCACTATTCCAAACTTCAGGTGTATTACAGAGCTATACTCATCAAGACAGTATGGTACTGGCACAAAAACAGACACATAGATCAATGGAACAGAATAGAGAACCCAGATATGGACCCTCAACTCTATGGTCAACTAATCTTTGACAAAGCAGGAAAGAATATCCGATGGAAAAAAGACAGCCTCTTCAACAAATGGTGTTGGGAAAATTGGATAGGCACATGCAGAAGAATGAAACTGGACTACTTTCTTACACCATACACTAAAATAAACTCAAATTGGGTGAAAGACCTAAATGTGAGACAGGAATCCATCAAAATCCTAAAGGAGAACACAGGCAGCAACTTCTTTGAGCCTGACTGCAGCAACTTCTTGCTAGACACATCTCCAGAGGCAAGGAAACAAAAGCAAAAATGAACTATTGGGACTTCATCGGGATAAAAAGCTTCTGCACAGCAAAGTTAACAATCAACAAAACTAAAAGACAACCTACAGAATAGGAGAAGATATTGACAAATGACATATCAGATAAAGGGTGAGTATCCTAAGTGATAAAGAATTTATCAAATGCAACTCCCCAAAAACCAAAAAATCCAGTTAAGAAATGGTCAGAAGACATGAACAGACATTTCTCCAAAGAAGACATACAAATGGCCAACAGACACATGAAAAAGTGCTCGACATCACTCAGCATCAAGGAAATACAAATCAAAACCACAAAGAGATACCACTGCACACCTGTCAAAATGGCTAAAATTAACAACTCAGGAAAACAACAGATGTTGGTGAGGATGCGGAGAACCCTCCTACACTGTTGGTGGGAATGCAAACTGGTGCAGCCATTCTAGAAAACAGTATGGAGGTTCCACAAAAAGTTAAAAAATAGAACTACTCTATGACCCAGTATTTGTACTACTAGGTATTTTCCAAGGGATACAAACATAGTGAATCAAAGGGGCATATGCACTCCAACGTTTATAACAGCAGTGTCTACAATGGCCAAAATATGGAAAGAGCCCAGATGTCCATTGACAAATGAATGGATAAAGAAAATATGGTATATATATGGATCCTCAACTCTATGGTCAACTAATCTTTGACAAAGCAGGAAAGAATATCCAATGGAAAAAAGACAGCCTCTTCAACAAATGGTGTTGGGAAAATTGGATAGGCACATGCACATATATATATGGAATATTACTCAGCCATCAAAAAGACGGAAATCTTGCCAATTGGAACAACATGGATGGAATTAGATGGTATTATGCTAAGTGAAATAAGTCAGAGAAAGAAAAATACCATATGATTTCACTCATATGTGGAATTTAAGAAACAAAACAGATAAACACAGGGAAAGGGAAGGAAAAATAAAATAAGATAAAAACAGAGAGGGAGGCAAACCATAAAGGATGTTGAATTCTTGGAAATAAACAGGGTTCCTGGAGGAGGGGGTGGTGCAATTGGTAGTGGGAGATGGGCATGAATAAGGGCACTTGATGTAATGAGCACTGGGTGTTCTATGCAACTGATTAATCACTAAATTCTAACTCTGAAATTAATAATACACTATATGTTAACTAAATTCTTAATTTTAAACAAAAAAAATTTTTTTAAAAAGAAATATGTGTGCATCTAACATGAATTTTCAGCTATACTCTCTTCCTTCTCAGGGTGTTTTCCTGGTAACCAACCTTCAGTCACCTGGTTTGAGAAGGAAAATATAAGTCACTCTTGCAAACCAGTAGCTCTTCTCAGGTGTCCCAAAACCTGCCGGTCCTATTACTTACTGTTGGTTTTTAAATGAAATACATTTAAGAAGATGAAAATCATATCATGCATCTTTTCTGACCACAACAGTATCATACTCATCAAAATATTGTTAGTAAACCACGTTGAACAATACATTAAAAGATCATTCACCACAATCAGGTGGGATTTATTCTGGGGATGCAAAGATGGTTAAATATTGGCAAATCAACGTGATACACCATATCAATAAAACTAGAAATTAATCACAAGAAAAAAAACTAGAAAAAACACAAACATGTGGAGGCTAAACAAGATGCTACTAAACAGCCAATAAGTCAATGAAGAAATCAAAGAGGAAATAAAAAAAATACATGGAGACCAATGAAAATGAAAACACAACAGTCCAAAATCTTTGGGATGCAACAAAAGCAGTTCTAAAAGGGAAATCTTTAGTGCTACAGGCCTATCTCAAGAAATAAGAAAAAATCTACTAAGCAATCTAAACTTACACCTAAGGAACTAGAAAAAGAACAATAAACAAAGCCCAAGGTTAGCAGAAGGAAGGAAATAATAAAGATCAGAGTAGAAACAAATGAAATAGAAACTAAAATCAAATAAAAAAACAAAAAACAATGGGAAAGATCAATGAAACCGGGAATTGGTTCTTTGAAAAGATAAACAAAATGGATAAAATTTTAGCCATACACAGCAAGAACAAAAGGGAGGACAAAAATGAATAATACCAGAAACAAAAGAAGAAATACAAATGATTTTAAGAGACGCCTATGGAGAATTATATACCAGCAAATTGGACAACCTAGAAGAAATGGATAAATTCCTAGAAACATACAATCTTCCAAAAGTGAATCAGGAAGAAATAAAGAATCTGAACAGACCAATTATTAGTAACAAAAAAAATCAATAATCAAACAAAACAAAACAAAACAAAACCTCCCAACAAACAAAAGCCCAGGACCAGATAGATTCATAGATGAATTCTACCAAAGGAAAAGAAGAGTTAATAGGTAAAACATCCATTCTCCTCAAAGTATTCCAAAAAATAAGAGAAAGAAAACTTCCAACCACATTTTACAAGACCATCAACACCCTGATATCAAAGCCAAAGACATTACCAAAAGAGAAAATTATAGGCCAATATCCCTGATAAGCATAGATGCAAAAGTCCTCAACAAAATATTGGTAAACCACATTGAACAATACATTAAAAAGATATTCACCATAATCAGGTGGGATTTATTCTGGGGATGCAAGGATAGTTAAATATTGGCAAATCATCATGATATATCATATCAGTAAAAAAAAAAAGTAAAAATCATATTATTATCTCAATAGATGCAGGAAAAGCATTTGACAAAATTCAACATCTGTTTATGATAAAAACACTCAACAAAGTGGGTTTAAATGAACTTACCTCAAAATAATAACGGCTGTATATGAAAAACCCACAGCTAACATCATACTCAATAGTGCCACTGTGGAAAACAGCATGGAGTTTTCTCAAAAAATTAAAAATAGAAATACCATATTATCCAGTAATTCCAATACTGTATTTTTGCCCAAACAAACAAACAAAAAAACTAATTTGGAAAGATAAATATATCGCTATGTGTATTGCAGCATTATTTTCAATACCCAAGATATGGAAGCAACCCAAGTGTCCATTGATAGATGAATGGATAAAGAAGATAGTTCTTCTTATAGTTATATAGTTATATAGTTCTAGGGCCTAGAGGGTATTATGTTAAGTGAAATAAGTCAGACAGAGAAAGACAAATGCCATATGATTTCACTTAAATGTGGAATCTAAAAAACAAAGAAACAAAAAGCAGAAACAGATTCTCAAATACAGAGAGCAAACTGGTGGTTGCGAGAAGGGAGGATGGTGGTGGGGGAGGCGCTGGGCAAAATGGGATAAGGGAAGTGGGAGGTATAGGCTTCCAGTCATGGAATGAATAAATCATGGGGATAAAAGGTACAGCGTAGGTAATATAATCAATGGTAATGTAATAGCATTGTATGGTGACTGATGGTGGCTAGGCTTGTGGTGAACACAACATAATGTATAGATATCCTGAATCACTATGTTGTACACCTGAAACTAATGTAACATTGTGTGTCAACAATACTTCAATTAAAAAAAAAATTAAGGCTGAGATGCACATATGTTCCCTGAATTTTCCAGATTAGAATAAACTGAATAATGGAGCAAGAAGACAATTTGCAGAGTTGAGGAACTATTACTGCATATCATTTCTTGTCATTTATATTTGTGCTTTACTGTATCTTTATTTTTCTATCTTTTTTTTAAGTCAATTGTTATTTACTTACTCTTTGTATGTTTCCTATTTTATTAAGGTTTCTATTTATTTGGGTTAATTTCTTCCTTTTTAAAAAGATTTTATTTATTTATTTAGGAGAGACAGAGAGAGAGGGAGAAACAGGCTCCCCACGGAGCAGGGAGCCCAATGCGGGATTCAATCCCAGGACCCTGGGATCACGACCTGAGCTGAAGGCAGACACTCAACCGACTGAGCCACCCAGTCACCCAGTTTCTTCCTTTTCTTTTTGTTTTACCTACTGTTCTTTCTCCAACTATTAGGTTGTTTAATACGTTTTTAAGAACATTAATTGATATAGTTTTTAAGCTAATATTTTCTCTGAGCACTATTTTATCTATAGCCCATGAAGTCTGATATGTAATGTTTTCATTATGTTTTCTAGAAATCCTGCAATTTTAGTTCATATTTCCATTTCAACCCAACTTGTCTAAGAGAAAGTTTGTACATTTTTAGGATAGCCTTTTTTATTTTGCTTAAGTTGTAAATGCATTGCATATAACCAGAGAATTTTTCTTATATAATCTATTTGGAATTTAATTAGATTTTTTTATGGCGGGCGCCTGGGTGGCTCAGTTGGTTAAGCGACTGCCTTCAGCTCAGGTCATGATCCCAGGGTCCTGGGATCGAGTCCTGCATCGGGCTCCCTGCTCTGCGGGGAGCCTGCTTCTCCCTCTACCATTCCCCCTGCTTGTGTTCCCTCTCTCGCTGTGTCTCTCTCTGTCAAATAAATAAATAAAATCTTTAAAAAAAAAAAAAGTTTTTTATGGCTTAATATATACAGCCAGTTTTCATGACTGCTTCATGCCCACTGTTATTTGGGTACAAAATTAACATAAATTTATAAGATGTACTTTATTGACTACTTGTTAGAATGTTCTATATCCTTTACCTATATTTTGTTCACATGAAGTGTTTTAGACTGAAACAATTACTCACTTGCCTTATTACCTGTCTGACGTAGTTCCTGCTTTATAAAATTTACTCCCACAAGCTTCAGGCAATCTCTATTTGTCCTTATGATGAGAAACAATAAAATTAGCTTACAACTTCTTCCTTTCTTCTTCTTCCCTCCCTCTCCTCCATCATTAATTTTATTGAATGTTAAGATCTTTCTTGGTGTTTATATTTGTTGTTTTACATATTTTTAGAATTCGATTTCATTTCAGCTTTAAATTGTATTATTTGATTTCCACCTACAACCTATGAAGGAAGGAATAAAGGGAGGAAGGAAGAAAAAACAGAAGGAAGGTAGAAAGGAAGTGAGGAAAATGAAACTGAAAAGTCCATCAATTAGAGAATAATTAAAAATATTATGTTACCACCAGCTTTTGAAATACTATTGACATCTTATAAAGAATGAGATCAATCCATGTGTATTGATATGGGGATAGGTCTATCATATACCAAGTGAAGATGAAAGTCTTAGAATATATACAATGTATGATATGCAATATATATGCCACCTTATATAAAAACAAAAATATGCACATATGTATAAAAATACATTTTTAAGTGTGTATAGTAGCATCTGGAAGACAGAGCAAATTCTTTACAGTCAGAATCTCCAGACTAAGGAAGTAGATAAGGATTTTGGGAGGAATAAAGGGAATTTTCATTCTTTATCCTGTTTACATTTGTATTGTTGGAACTGTTTTACAACGTGGAAGAGTTGGCTCTTATACGTGACAAAAATAATACATTACTTCAAAATTGTAACTTAAAAAATACCTGGTCATAGAAAAATTTACTTGATGAATTTTTTAATCTTTTTTAATCTTTGGAAAATTTAATTTGGACCATACTTTCTCTTGCTGAGAACATCAAATACATCTGTATGTTTTGGGTTCCACGGACCACAAAGGGGCAGTGGGTTTCCGGCAGTTACACTGTACCCAACTTTCTATAGAAAGATCAGACATTTTCCAACCTTGCTTTAGAATGTTTCCTTAAAAATGATTTAAAGTTTTCTTACAATAAATGGCAAGTAAAACAAAGTAAGGCTTTATTTTCTCCTTTTTTCTTTTTTAGAACTTACATATATTCAACATTTTATTTACTTTTTATAGGATATTACTTTTTAATGGCATAATTTTTCATGCATGTAATTTTTATATATATTGATACATATACTATAAAATATTATAAAACAATACCTTAATAACGTTAAATATTACTGATAGTGGATTGAACAAAATAAAAAGGTATTCTTTTTTTTTTTTTTTGATGTTGCATGTTGGAGGAAGAAGGAAGAGAGACTTGTCACATCAGTGTTGGTCCTCTGAGGAGTGCTCCTGGGTCCCCCAAAGGGCACCCGTGGCACTGAGGCTTGGACGCGCCCCCACACTGAGGAACCTGAGGTGCCAGGCAGCCAGTCATGGCACAGGTGGGTCTGCGGACCACCTGGTTCTTCGCGGTGCTCACAGAGCTCCTGGCCTTCAAGAGTAACAACGGAACGAGTACCAAATCATGACCAGAGGTTTCCCACCTGCTACTGCAATACCATAGGTTCCCTTCTGCAGGCCTTGTAATGTAAATTTAAAGACTGAAGTATATAAAATACAACACAGGGCGCCTGGGTGGCTCAGTCGCTAAGCGTCTGCCTTCGGCTCAGGTCATGATCTCAGAGTCCTGGGATCGAGCCCCGCATTGGGCTCCCTGCTCCCTCTCCCACTCCCACTAAAGATAAATAAAATCTTAAAAAAAAAAACAACACAATGTTCATTTAAAGACTAGAATAGTTCCTGAGAAAATAAAGTATATAAAAACAAATTAAAATCCTTGTCAGTTAAAACCTTGCCTATTGTCTGATGATTAGTCTTAAATTACATTTGAGAAGAAGTGTATTAGGCAACGTACTTCTCAGTTTGGGTTAGACTTTTTATACTTCTCATGCTCTCCATTTTTCCTCCAAAGGAATCATGCTGAGTTTCCCTGAATTCAGTTTTAATGTGTAATGTTCTCTAGGGTTGCGATCTTTCACTATGAAGTAACAGATATCTACGGTCTTAACTTCCCTTTGAAAAATCAGTTTCTCTCTGCAGAACCAGGCAGCACCCTTTTAAACTTTGGAATACCCTAGGGCAATCACCATGGTAGGGATTCTTTGATCGTTGACTTAGCTGCCCTATACAGCAGAGGTGGCAAATCACCTAAACGCAGTTTGCTTTCATGTTGAGCATCATGCTCAAGATAATCTTACAACCTAACGTTCTCTAAAAAGCAAAATGGCCATTATTGCAACGTTATTCTCAACACCTCACACATCTCACTGAAGTGATAACTCATTGAAACAGTTTGCCAAATCACCTTGTTGGATTGTGCTGGCTTATCACCTCATTGTCTGACTTTTTCAGTTTCTCTGGTCTCCTCAATCCTGCCCACATATCCCACCACATTCCCAGCAGTGACTTCCCTTCCTTCACAGAGGAGACAGAAATGACCTGACGTGAATCACCTCCCAGCCAAGAGCCACCCTCTACTTGTGCCTTGGGTCCCATCTCTTCCTTTTTCAAGAATCCTCTGCGATCTGTTGTGCAATATGTTCTCAGTATCTTCCACTTGTCCTTCTTTACTCACCCATTCTCATCGAATTTAGAACATGCTCAAATTTCTTCCATTCTATTACAAAAATTCCTGCTTTATCCCTATCTCCCCCATGCCACCCTACCTCTCTCCCCTTCACTATCACACTTACTGCCAAGCTCACTATAGTCATGTCTCTGGTTTTTGTACCTTACGTTTATTCCTCAACCTGTTCCTCTCTCAATTTCACACTTAATGATGATGATGTTCCTTTGAAGGTAGTCAATAACATCGAAACAGCATTTTCAGTCCTCCTCTCTCCTGGTTTTCATTGGAGCAGTCCGGCCATTCCTTATCAGCTTCTTTCATCATTCATTTTCCTATGGCAATCACTACACTTCGGATACCCTCAAAGCCCTGAACTCGGCCTGCATCTACCCCTGAAAAACTCATCTATTGCCTTAGTTTTGTAGACATCTGCTAACTGATAACTGCAAATTTTTTCAGAGCTCTTTTCTGACACCCAGGCTTGTATAATGCTCATAGATTGGGTTCCCAGACTGTGGGATGGAAATTAGCAGCCAGGAGCATTTTTAGGGAATACTCTTAGA